GGTGGACCCTCGCCGGATTTGATCGGCGAATCGGAGAGCTCTGCGGTTCTATCATCACTGCTATATCCAACGGTGCTAACTGCAAGCTGCCGCTTAATATCAACGACGCCGACCTGCATCTGCACGCCAAGGATCCACCTGCTCCCCATGCTGGTGCAACAGAGATGATGTTTTCTCTTACACGTCTCGAGTTTGCTAAAGCTCCCGGAAACGACAAGATGAGGAGTCAAGCGTCAGAATCAAACCCGCAAGCTATATCAAGCGTTGCTGACCACCGCTTGTCGAGTTACCTGGAGCGCTTCTCCACGTATATGGAAGACACTTATCTTAGATATTGCGATCCAAAAGTTCCTCTTCACTATATGACGCTCCTTATGACCCGGGCAAATATCTGCAAACAGAAGATAGTATCAGGATTTTTCCGTGTCGCACTTACTGCGCCTGCCCCTCTGCCACTAGTTGAGAGAGAAGATCTTTTCATCGAAGCGATCAAGATGATCGAATACGATAGTATGATGCAAGCAAGGGAAAATCTGAAGGGCTTCCTCTGGTATACACAGATGCATTTTCCGTTTCCGGCGTATATTTGCCTCCTCACCGATCTGCGTCATCGGACAACTGGAGATCTATGTGAACGCGCGTGGGAAACTATCTGCGAGCATGCTGACCGGAGGAAGATGACAACTCATATGCGTAGCCCGATGCACCTATCATTCAGCCCACTCTTTGTGAAAGCATGGGATGCGCGGGAAGCTGCAGAAGCTGCATTGGGGCGTACGCTAGCTCCACCCCGTCTCATTACTCACATGAGACAAGTTGCAGCTCGATTACCTAAGACGACTAAGAAGAAGACACCGGTACCGACACCCTCACCGAAGATTCCTGTCGTAAGTGGCGCTTACGCCGCAACGCCACAAACACCACCCGAGCAGCAGCAGCAAGCAGCTCCTTCAACAGCAGTACCCATATATCCGGATAGCGACATGTTTGGTGCCGGCATGCCTCAAATAGACATGAACAGACAATTCGCGACCGCGTTCCCGGATGTAAACTTCGGCGGGGAGATGGACTGGAATTACTTGTTGCAGGAATATGGTGGCTTTATGGGAGTCGCCCCCACGCCGCAAATGAGCGCCTACGCGAATCAGGCGCCGTTACACGACCCTACTCAAGCTACTGTTTGGCAGTAGCTGTATGATAATTCTTTTTAGGTACCGGGGACCTGACATTAAGTATATATGGATGACGTTATGTGGATGGCGATTATAGGTTCGGTTCTGGATGATCCAAGGCACATACCCAACCCTCTAAACTTGTATATACAAGAAATACTCAAATATTTGGGGTTATTTATCGGGACATATAAGTTCATCCTACGGCGTTAGGTATGAACAAACATATAAATGAATATAACTTTTTTTTCTTTGGATCCTGGAGCGATGCTTTGGTTAAGTGATACCACACTTAGACGTTAATCTGGCGGTAAATTCGCCCCACTCCAGGCCCATCACAATATCGACTCGCCCGGCAACAACCCATTCCTCCACCTCTCGGCCCCGTGTTCGTTAGCCCACGCTAGAACGGCATCGTAGTCGACGCACTCGTGCGGCGAACCCCACCCCGGCCCAGTCTCCGTCTCGCCTTCTAGATTGGTGTCCGCCGCACACATGATCGACTGCCGCAGATAATCAAAGCAATGCGCCGAATGATGCGCGACTTCCTCCTCCAACTTAGTCCCCGCGTACCCAGCCTGGAAATGGGAGATCACATACGAGAGACAGTGTAGCTGGTGGAATACCGACATCATATACGTGGGGCCGTAGGAGGTATGGTCTATGGACATGTTGAACGGAGCCGGGAGAGTTGGGTAGGAGGAGTAGGTCGGTACGTGGATGTACCCGCGTGCCTCGGCGCTTAGGGGGATCCAGTTGTGCAGGGTGCTTAGGGTGGCGTGCTCGTCGAAGAGCATGTTTTCTTCGATGTAGGTTGCGTTCGGGAGGAAGGTGTAGGATTTTCGGGGGACTGGGTTGGTGGTTAGTTAGGCCATTAAGGTAGTTGGGGATGGAGCATGGATGGAACGTACATTTTGGAATTGGTGTTCGTCTTTCTTCGATACGCTCGTGGATAAGGTTTACCAGCAAGACGACTGTCGCGATTGCCATCGCGATCTCGAGAGCTAGCCTTAGGTACCATGTTGCCCCGCGGTGGCGTCTTTCGCGGGGCCACGCGACGTCATCGTGGAGGGGTATCTGTTCTAGGAAGGCTTGCTCCTCCTCCCCTATCTTGGGTTCCTGCTTGCTATGGCTCATGATGGGACGATGCTGCGCTGACGAGCAATTGGATTGTGTTTTGTCTACATGTCAGACGTAGGACAGTGTTAAACCGACAGAAGAATCGACATTTCGCAGACGGCGGTAATGAGAACGTACGAATTGTCACGTTTTGCCAAGATTAAATTAGGCAGAGTAGGATTGTACTCGAAATGGAAGGGTCGCAATGCTTCCGTTCCATATTGGGATAAGTGGCGAGGACATTATTATGCGACGGTTAAGAAACATCACCATATCATTATCATAGAGTCAAAAAAGCCAATTGTAGAAATGGGGGAGCTGATGTAATGTATTGAGTGATACAAGAGTGGATGTTCTCTTGTTAGTCGTTGCAGTTTGTTGCTGCGATGCTTCTTGGAGCAAGTGATGTAGGGTTATTATATACATGTGAAGACATTATCCCGCTCCCCCTTCCCTAGAGCCCAAGGCTACTCCAATCCTTCATCCTCTGCCACCACCATGTGATATCCTCGTGCTGAGCCCTAGTCCGCAGGTGTCTTGTTGTCTTGTGATGATCTTCGATGTTCTGTTGTTGTTTGTTCGTCTCGGATTCTTAGAATATGGCCACTCTGAAAGGCCAGGACCTCGGTAAGCTCAATGGTGGAGCATGGTAGGGTTTTTGATCATCGACTCGATCTAAAGTTATCGAAGGACTAGGTTATGTGCTCATCTAGTCATGTCGACAAGCAGACACAACTACCTTACTAGACAGTAAGCAAACCCGATCTCACATTTGACCCGTACTAACAAAGCCACCATGAAGTTTTCCTCCGTACATTAAATCACATTGTTCGGCAAATTGCAGAGTCGTGGACACGCTTGACTTATGAACAAGAGGTGAAGTCGCTGCAGCAGAAGAGCCATTGGCAATCACAAGGACAGCTGGGGTTCTGTATGGTCCAAGACCAAATTGCTAGCTTATACAGGTACTGGCTCCATGATGATTTTGCCTTCCTAAGACAAGTGAGATCTGGGAATGCTGTTGTAAAGTGAAGGAGTGCGACTGCTGTCTCAATGATAAGTGAGTTGACATTTGGTGGGATGGTGACTGGGGAGGGGAATGTTAGGCGACGAAGATAATTAGTATTCAATAGAAGGGTCGAGTCTCACCAGTCCAGACTAGGTCTGTTGCGTAGGATATTCTGATTCTTTGTGGTCGCTGTGCGACAAATTGTTTTTACTGTGGATGGTTAGCTAGAATGCTTTGGGTATTTGGGAAAATTAAATCGGATTACCTTGCGTTGCTGAGAAGCAAGAAAAGAGTTCAATGATACATGGCTCATGGTAATGAGAGCCGGCAACCTTGGTCATGTGCTAGCCTGATTGTGTGGATGAATGTAAGCAATGAGTAACATGATGGAATGGATGATCAAGGTGACTTATGGTGACAGTAGAGGCCTACTGAGGAAGAGTTGGTGATGTTGACCCGAGACATTGTAATGATGGATGTCTTGATGAAGGATCAATGTAGAATGAAGGTTGTTATGATAGTTGGTATGAGTGGGTGAAGTGGAGTTGGATCTCTGAGGTCTTGAGATCCTTTGACTTGATGGAGGGAGAAGTGGAAAAAGAAAGGATTGGGACTGGGAACCCCAATGTTAAATAGTAAAATCCAAGGTACCATCTGGGTGGCCAAGGTGGTCAGTGTGGTGACAAAATCTGCTGGCAGCACCTTCCATCTTCGAAGAAAAAAATGTTTTCCTGTCAGTTTCCCACTAAAAAAAAGTTTAATACAGCTTCATTTTCAATTGATACTGTCGGTACCTAGTGACTCGATTTCTCATTGGTTCAATTATGTCAAAGCTTTGTTATCCACCGAGTACCTAGGATACTCGCACTGGTAGACTGCAGGTGATCTTGAATTTACACCTAGCACTGACCACATTCTGGACCATGTTGTATTCTGCAGACTGTGTTCAGGTAATTATTCGATTCATCATCCAATAATTATACTGTACTTTCCTACCGTACGAAGATTCGTGTCAATTTTTTATCACATCAGCCAGGTCTCTTGCCCAGTGCTAAACCATTTTTGGACACTGTATGAGCATCAAGCTAAGATCTAGACCAAATAGTAGTCTGTTCGCCATATTCTAGCGAGTTATCACCATAGCTCAGGTAATTTAGCCGCTAAAAGAAAAAGCCACACAGCACAGGTCAATTTTCAATTCGCACGGCGCAGCCCATCAGTGTGTTCTAGACATTCGATCCTTCGATAGACACAAGTAGCTTAAATACGACTATCTCTTTTCAAAGTACTCTCATCTGTAAAAGAGTATCGTGTTTCATTCATCCATCGATAAGTACGAAATATGTCAGAAACCTGTTGACGTTCCATCTCCATGTCTTTATGACATCCTCTCTACTGGAATAAGATCAATCATATCTCATGAACCCGGTAAACGTACCTATTAGCAACTCATTCGAGCGAAACCTGAGATGATTTGAGGAAGTGGATTTGCTGAGTATAAAAGATTGAAGATCGAATAACCTTGTATACTACACATTAAAGTTTGTGCAAGTGCAGCTTGCATCGAACACATTATATACAGCAGCATTTACCCGTCTCAACAAACAAGCTCGCTCTTTCCAAAACCACGCAATTGAGACTGCCTACTTTCATAGATCAATCCTAGACCAAATCAATCATACAAGAATATCCCAAGAATATCCCAATTGGTGTAGTGGCTAACATTCAGGATTCTCATTCCTGAGCCCAGGGTTCGATTCCCTGATTGGGAGTTTCTTTTTGTCTATTTTTCTTGTGAATTGTACGCCAACTGGGTTGAATATTTGACTGAGTCGCAGCGTGGTCTCTGGTAAGATAGGTTATTACCTGGTACGAAGATTATGCCTCTAGATAGCAAATGACCGCTATAGTTCTCGATGACGATAAAGATACTCTTGGGACGGCTTCCTCTGATGAATCGGCACACTATCTATGATGTTGGGTGACTTCTGTATTGCTGGGTATAAATTCCATCGTGAAGAAAACACGTTACCGAGATCGTTTGGAAGGGAGGTAGATGATTAGATATTAGGTGCCTCCTATGGATTCAGCTATTTTAAAGAATTCTACTTACCTATCAAGAATTTCGTTCATTGCACATTTCCTCCCAACTCTACATCTTAAAGTAAATAATGTTAGCACAGCTGGCACAACGTAGAGACGACTACTAGTTGGAATGATGACTAATGTCTTAGTTCCAATTGAACGAAACATTTTAAAGTAGATATGTTCGATACTTATAATGTAAAATTTTGAAACAAAAATTCCGGGGCAAACCGGGTTTCCCCTACTTACCCGATTTTTACTACCTAGTACCCATAGCTGGCGTCGCATATCGGACTTTATATCCAAAAACCATGTCAATATCTCAAGACAGAAATAATTAGTATTGCTTAAATTTCGATTAGTCAGCTACGTTAGATCATACTGTGAGTGCTAGGTAGCAGCGGTAGGTTTCGTTATGTCGTTCGTGATTTGAATTTTTGAAAGGATGAAATATTAATTGAGATTTCCCGCATTAGGGGGCATCGTTCTTGTGGAACAGCGAGCCTATATAATATGCCCACCCTTAGCTGTCTCTCATGCTGACATAATCTGAGATTACTTAATTGCTATATGGCAAAGTGGAACATAGCTTCGTTGAACTTATGCTTTTTTTTGCCCGAGCCAATGTAAATTCCGTATGATACTACCTGCTTGCCTACTAAGAAAAAAGCCTCATGCCGCAGTGGCGTACCGGTCTGGCTCCGTGGGGGTCGCAAGGATGAAGATCGAAGATAGAGGCGTTTCTACTACAAGGAATATTTGCTCCGGTTTATCCGTCGTCCTTGTAAGATACACTAAAAGAACTCTGGCCTAGAATCTCGGTGTAGATCGATGACTGCATAGATAATGAGCTGTGTAAATGTAAGATCGCACCTCAGCCTTAGAATGGTATTGCGGGACTTTATGCCGTGCTATCGGGACGGGAAACGGCGCCTCTCAGGATTGGTTGATCTACTTATCTTACCTAATCAGGTTAAGCGTGGTAGTTCGACCTTGAATTCTTTCTTGAGACATTATTTCGCCAGAAATAAAATCATCCTCGGTTCGATCAAGGCATATGCGAGATATACACAAACTTGATTCGAATCCTAGGTTGATGTAAATGCATCTCGTATGGAGGAGCTGAAAGTAAGGGTGGGATTTTAATGTACCTCCTTATGTGGATATATACGGAACAACCTCAAAGGTGATTTCGATCGCGATCTCGGATATAATGTCAACTTCATATTCGGATTTACGACGGGTTGATCGAGCTACTGTTTAAGGCCACCGACCTACCTATGTACGACCAAACGCTTCTTATCTCAAACCCAACCCGAAGAATGCCAGATCTTTATTCCGATCTGACCTAAGATGAATCCCGAAAAGACTAAACGCGGATGAATAATTCCTTTTTTACTTGGACCTTACAGCGAGGCGGATCTGATTATGCACGTGGATAAAACGTGGCTTATGCACTAAATACCGTGCATAAGGATCGATACTGTGAATCTTCTTAGTAACCCGCAGCGTATGCACCTAATCCTGTCACCGGTCGCACTGTACAAGGATCCATGGATAGGAGCTGAAAGTAAGGCACGCAATAAATAAACACCGATCTAGTGATCTCGCAAAAACTAACCTAAAAATAGCATTTTTACTTCCAACTCGTCCTTCTCCTCTTGTCAGCCTCCAACTATGCGACAGAATTTCATCTAGGCATACCTGTCTAGGTAAGAGGGAAATTCCTTCGATGCTATAACCCATGTAGTTGCAGCGAAATGTCATATGATAACGGCATATGAAAATCTTCTGGAAAACTTCTATTGTTCTGGGTTGAATTTGAAAAAGCTTAATTTGAGAATATTCGGCACAATCCCGGAACAAGATAACAATATGTGCGAGTACGGCGCGACCTTACTCACGTACGAAGTCGCCAGAATTATGAAGCCATAATCAGCGGATCTTGTACGATGCGGAGTTACTGAAAGGTTGTGGGGTACAACGACACTATTCATTTGGCGGCGGAGAAGCGATAGCTATGCCGTGCGAGGAGAAATCAACCGCTCACTGCCGCATTGCCGCAGGTTACAGGTTACAGGCAACAGTCATCACATGCCTAGATCGGTAAGTTTCAGTTAATAAAGTACATGAACTCGAAGGCGCAAGTAATAATTCTTAGATGTAGGTACCTATGACACAGAATTAAGTGGTGTGCAGGGGTAGAGAGATACTCCGTCACCGAACACGGCTGAAAAGGCGAGAGCATGGAAGTTTGGTACTATTGTTTGATTGGCCACATCCCTTACAGCTTCCAATTCGTCCCGTGTACCAACTATGTTGGGTCGAACGCTATACAAAAGGGGGATGTCCGGTCTTCGAAGCTTAGCTGAGTCAAAAACGGCACTTTCTTTCGTAACTCAAGATTTGGTTAAATACTCCCCGCTGCGAAAATGAAGGAAGTAATTGCACCCGTCGTGGCTGAAGGGGGATATAAGCCGAAGGTATTAATCGTCGGCGCCGGCCTGGGTGGCTTGACTCTTGCTCAAGTCTTCCGGAAGAATGGCATCCCATTCGAGATCTTCGAGCGTGATGAGCATGAAGTTGCCAGAGCTCAGGGATGGTCTTTAACCATGCACACGTGAGTTCTAATTCTCCAATATCTAGTAACGTACTCGAGTCTAAGATCCTCCTCCCCGTATACAGTGTCGTGGACGACTTGTTCAAGGCTTTCCCGGATGATATGCCCAATTTCAGGGACACCGTCCATCATCTCAACCCCCTCAACCTAGAAACTCAAGTCGTCTTCTATTTCCACAACGACCGCTTAGGCACGGAATGTTCCCCATCCACTCCCACAACACGAGCCAACCGTCTGTTGCTCCGAAAGTGGCTGTCTACCAACATCAATGTCCAGTACGGAAGAGTTGCCAGTCAGGTTGGGAGAGTAGGAGACAAGATGGTTGTCACCTTCAAGAACGGCACCACCGCAACAGGTGACCTAGTCGTGGGTGCCGACGGAGCAAACAGTATTGGTAAGTATCTTCAATACATGATGCCTTAATGAAAATAAGTTGCTCATATATGTATAGTAAGGGAGCATGTTCTAGGCAAACCCAACAAGGAGGTGTTACGGAATGTGCCGATTAGCTCGATTACTGGAGAGACCAGGCTGAGTGGAGAACTATTTGCCCGTCAATTGGAGATTGCCCATAGCATGGCTATCATACCAGTTACTACTGGCGATGCCTGGAACAACTTATTTATGGGCCTGACTAAGGTAGCGCCGGATGGCCAATCGGGCGATTTCTTCTGGGTTCTCTCATGGCATGACCCTCTTGCCCAGCAGACAGGTCGCATCGCGGTCAACACTCTCCCAAGAGACGAACGTCTCGAGATCGCCAAGAAGATGACTGCGCATATGGATCCTAAGTTCCGACGTGTCATTGAGGAGACCTCTGTGGAGGGTATCCGAGATATTGGTTGGGTACCAACAGACTGCCACCTGGATGAGATTCCACTAGGAAGAGCAACACTCCTTGGTGATGCTGTACATCTCATGATGCCATACAAAGCCGAGGGAGGTATACATGCGATGCGCGACGCCCTCCATCTGGGAAAACTCATTACTGAGCTAGAATCATCGGATGATGCTGCTCTTCACCGCATGCTTACCACATTCTACGGGGAGATGTTGCCCCGTGGAGCCCAAGCTGTCGAACTCTCTAGATACTTTCAACAGAACTTCAGGAAGGACAAGACTGGTGTCAGGGCTTGGGGACACCCTGTCAAGAGCCTACCGGATGAGAGGCTAGAGATGGGACCTGAAGGTGTGCGCAGCGTGTCGAAAGGAATTTGCAAGTTAAATTTGGTGCCTAGCATATGAGATATCCCTAATTGTGTAATTATTAGTTTGGGTTTTATAGGTATGGCGGTTAGGTTGTGGGTTGCCTTCATAGAGTTCTTACATAGGGCGAACCAAATTGTACTACATTTCCGTAAATTACACCGATGTCAACTTAAACTCCTTGGTGATGTTTGTATGTTATATGTGGGGCTACCCCTTTTCCCGTAGGACTGAACTATGATGGTAAACTATAACGCCCAATCTTACCTCACTACCTAGACAAATAAGTTATATAGTATTACATAAATGAAGCATAGTTGATACCTAGTAGACACTCATTGGGGTTTAAGTTATGAGGCGTGAAAAGGAGTAATTTGAATTTTGTAGCCTCAAACTTAACTCTCCAGATATCCCTTGAATTAGCAGAACCTTGGAAGGCTTTAGAAAGGGTTTAGAAGATATAATGCTGTTCACCTGACTAGAAATCTGACAGCAAGCTTTTATTCATGTTATTTGGAAATTATCATTTATGCTTTGGTGTATTCAGCCTTATAAACCCTATCCGAAAACCATTGGCTGCAAGCACTAGACATAGCTTCATACACACTTGAATTTGAGTATAAATACCTATTGACCGCCCTTCTTTCCAGCGAGTTTTCGGTTCTTCACCTATTACACGCCTTCTATCACACATCCACTATAACTCTATCACGTTGACTACCAAGACCTTTACCAAATTATTCATCTGCACCCACCAGCACAATGCGTCTATCACTCGCAACCCTCCTCACCACCGGCCTGGCTTTCGCCTCGGCCCTGGTTATCCCGCCAGAGATCCCAACAAACGACACCGTCCTAGTC